TTGATTGAAAAAAAAAATAAATATGCAGGCAAATGAAGAACTGTGTTATAAAAAAACATTCTCAAAATCAGAACTTAAGCTTGCTAAGCATGCTACATATAGATCTTTGCATTCATAAATTATGCGTATTTTGTTTAATACTTATATGTATCATTCTTGGTTATTTAAATTTTATTTCCCTGTAGAAATCATATCCAGAATAAAGATATGATTTATAGCTTCTGATTTTTTCTATGATTAGTAGTGATTTGAAGTACTTTTTATTAGTGAATGCTTGAGGAGTTAAAAGAAAATTTCTAATTAAATGTGCATATAATTTACAAGGTATATTTTTAATTATTCAGTTTTATATGTATATGGATTTTAAATGTAATAAAATTGATTACAATTAATTATTAATTTAAAATTAATGAATGGTTAATTACAACATATGCTACGCGCACATTTTCAAAGTTGTAAAAATGTCGTTCGCACGTTGACTACTGACAAGGTTTGCTGAAGGTTGGAGTCTATGGAAAATGAATTTTTTTAATAATAATAATAATTTTCAACTGGTTTTAATAGAAATAAACTGAAAATAAAAGGCAGAACATAATGGTCTGAAAGAGCTTATCATTTATGTGAAGAATAATGCAGTAATTTTGAAGTCAGATTTAGCAGTTTTTCTTCACTTTCTTCTGAAAAAATAATTGAAATGAAAGAACATAGAATTGCATTTATTACAGAAGCTGCAATTCAAAATTCAAAAGTTATTTTAAAGTAAACCATCAGCTTACCAAAATTTTTGCACAAATAACATTAAATGTTAAGCAACAAGAATCATCATAAGTTGCATAAATTTGCAGGTTTATGGATAGTTATATGGAACCTTTTTCTTCAGCTGCAGAAGTGAAAATTATGAAAGGAAAACATGGTAGTGCAATAACAATAATCAGGAAACCCAGGAAAATATCAGCTAAGAAAGAGGAAACAAAGCCATTGGTGCTATTTATTAAAAAAAGTGAAAGCAACTATCAAATAACTTCTTTAGGTGAAGGTAAATGGTTTGATTTGATTTATGTAACTATGGCAACGCCTCAAGGGCTATCTGCCTAAGAGGAGAGATGCCTTCATGGAGAACTTTGCGAGGAAAACTGGCTCATATTCATGTTACACATGGGGGAAACCATGAAAATGCCCATGCAGCCAGCCTGTTCATGGGATTCAAACCCAAGACCGAACTACCAGTGTTCAGCAACTTTACCGCTCGGCCGCTGGTGGGTTTCACGTGAAGGTAAATGTAAATTAGAATTGGGATCATTGAAATGACATGTATGTAGAAATGAACAGGAGCCTGCAGGAAATGCTTCTAGGATATTTAATTCGTCTCTAGGAAAATGTTTTTGGAATAATTTTAGCAACAGAAAAATGGAAAATGTGATTTTTTTTTTTACTACAAGTATTGAGCAATAGTTTAAAGGATAAGATTTACAAATCCCTTTAGACTCAACTAAAGGACAGTTTTAATTATCACCCACACCAAAAACAAAAACATGCAAAAAAAATCAGTTTTTCTTTAAAAACCAACCATTTTTTTCATTCCGTGCCAAGGAGGCTAGAAAACTTTTTCCTATCAAACATAACCCCCAGGAAATGGGAGAGTCCAAAGAAACCTGCTTTTTCCTTTTTTTTTGGGGGGGGGCTGAAATCAATCTTAAATATTTGTCCAAAGTGAATCAAGGAAAAATCCAAAGATAACTGATTACAAGCATTTTAAATTCATTACAATTTCATTAATTCCTAAATTAATTTACCTAAACATAAAGTTTTAATTGTATCGAAAGTTAAAATTTTTAGACATTTTTGCATAAATTAACCTGAAAATATTACTCTCTCTGTTTTTAAATGCCAATAAAATATGGAAAAACACTTAAAATACTCTTTTTGCCAAGAATTTAGAGATTTACATCTAATGTTTTAGTAATTAATTTACACATTTTTAAAATTTAGAACTTAACTAATGAATTGCATTAAGCAACTTAGATCTAAAATTAATTATTGAAACAAAACTCATCAGGAATTTAGAATAAAAATAATTACTATACAGCAATTCGAATAATTACTGCAATAATATGTATAATTTAGAAAGCTAAAGTGTGAATTTTATACAGTAAAAAGTCCATAATCTGGACATCCATTATCCGGAATGATCTATAATCTGGACCTCGAAGTCACTATTTTTTTTTTTTTTTTTAATTGTGTGTGTGTGTACTTTACACATGCACGTTTAATATATAGTGGACGGTATAAGCTAGGCTAAAATTATCTTTACTGATTCTAAGGCATTTCAGTTAATGTTGCAGACTGCGCTGTTCCCTTAATCTTCTAATTGGATCCAGCTTATTATTTTTTGCAGACTGTTAGAGCAATTTTATAAAAATTAAGCTTGAACTTTCGATAATGTCAAAAAGAGTTTCCAATTCTGGAGTTGCAAAAGGATCTACAAAGCGGAAGCATGTTTCGATGTCCAGCAAACAAAAAGTGGAATTGCTTCAAAAAATGGATAAAGGCATATCCGTCTCAAAATTATGCGAGAAGTATGGCATTGGAAAGTCCACTATATATGACACAAGAAAAAGGAACTTTTTGAATTTTTTGTGAATTCCGACACCCCACTTGCAATGAATAACAGAAAAAGGGGTTCATTATGCTAAAAGTGACAATCACGACAAAGTGATGATTGAATGGGTCAGACAGTGTCGCACCGAGGGCATGCCATTGACAGGTCCAATGCTAATGGCTCAAGCCAAAATATTTCATGAACAAATGAACTGAGTACACATGTTACGGTGAAACACCGAAATCTGGAGAATGTCGACTCTCACCAGTGAATGTCAACATTCACTTAGTCGCTTGGTGTGTGTCCAAAATATTTTCCAAATACTCTTATTTCTGACTTACACTGGTCAATGTCGACATTCACCGTGTACTAATGGTGAATGTTGAACATATAAGAATATTATATTTCTTCTCCATAATTCAGTTGCAAAAAAATGCACTTAAAAAACTTTAAAAGACTTAAAAAAAGAACTTAAAGCACACAGTACATTCAAAATAAGAAAGGAAAATAATAGAAGTTAAAAATTTACTGAATTATACAGTATGTTCTAAATGAGAAAATAAAATAATAGTAATAAAAAACTTACTAAATTATGTGATTCAAATCTTATTTATTGCAACAACTTAAACTATTATGGCAGTTTGAATTGTCGACTCCTCTCTTTTCGACCTACACCAGAGCATATCTGTGATTGTCGACATATACCGGTGAGGGTCCGAATGTACAAGAATGTAATGCAATATTCGATCTTTCACCGACATATTTGGTGAATGTTGACATTCTCTGGTGAAAGTCGACATTTACCAATTTCGATCTTTCACGGTAACACACATATTTGACTGGTTGGTTAACCAAATTTAAAAATCGCCATGGTATAAGACAATTAAAAATTTCAGCTGAGAAACTTCAGCTGTTACTGAGGCTGCTGAATAATTTGCAGATGAATTCATTGAACTCATTAGTAGTGAACAATTATCTCCAGAACAAATTTACAATGCTGATGAAACTGGTCTTTTCTGGCAATATGTACTGCGAAATACCTTGGCAACCTCTACAGAAAAGGCTCCAACTGGTGTCAAAGATTCCAAAGTGAGACTAACAATTTTAGCATGTGCAAATGCTGCAGGAATGCACAAGTGCGTAATCGGAAAACATGCACGACCTCGAGCATTTAAAGGAGTAACAATTTACACCGTTATATATCTCACAAGTAAAAGATCAAGGATGACACAAGGGTTGATGAATGATTGGTTTGAAAATCATTTTATACCCGAGGCTCGGTGACATTTGAATTCGGTTGGTTTACCTGATGACTCAAAAATAGTCCTGATTGTTGGCAGCTGTTCAGCTCATACTTCACTTAAAGTTTTAGTGAAAAATAATGTATTCGTATTATTCTTACCTCCAAATTGTACGTCTATCATTCAGCCTATGGATGTGGGAATAGTGCACGCGCTGAATTGCAAATATAAAGCAGCATTTTTAAAATCTATGTTAAATTTCTTGAACAATGGCAAGACTGTTCAAGACTTTTTGAAATTTTTTAGCATAAAATCTGCTGTGTGGAGCACTGCAAGATCATGGGAGGATGTGTCTCCAGATACGTTAAAAAATGCTTGGCATAATTTATGGCGAGATACCATATTTCATGGTGAGGACGATGAAGATGATAGCCGCAAATTTGAAGGTTTTCAGACATTGCAGAACTAGAGGTGAAACTTTCCAGTTATTGGATTTTGTAAAGATATGTGGAGAAGCGGTAGTAAATGAAAATGCTATAACAGAAGTTTTTCATTGCGACGACAATGCCCCAATCATCAATCAATTAACGGACGACAAAATCTGTAGTATGGTTCTAGATCCAGAAAATATCGCTTCTGATAGTGAAGAAAGTACAGAGAGATTATTGAAAACAAAAAAATTTCAATTGACACGTTAGTTGGTATTCTCAACACGGCAATTACAGGACTTGAACAGTGGAACTTTGTAACTGAACAAGAAATTATGTCTGTTTATGGAATTAAGGAGAAAGTATTAGCGCAAAAAAAGAAGCAATTTAAAGAACTTACATTGAAAGAAATGTTTAATAAAGTAAACAAATAAATATTATTTGTGTGTTTGTGTGTAAAGTTTGATACCCTTAAATCATAATTGCTCTTTATTTCATAAATTATGGTTTCATATTTTTCATTGTATAATTTCCGCATGCCATGTTACCAGATTTAAATTGGTGATCTATAATCTGGAATCGTTTAAGTCCCGACGAGTCCGGATTACGGACTTTGTACTGTATTATTTCTTTTCATTTAAAAGAAGCAAAATTAAAATTAATTTGTAATCAGTCTGTTTTTTCTTCCCTAAACTCATCACTCAAAAAAATAATATGATATTTCTTTCACAGAAGAAAGGAAATAAAAAGAAGAGATGGGGAACTGGAAAATCAAACCTAAGACATTCACCATATTTTATAAAAGATGGTGATACGATAGGTGTAAAGGTAAGAACTTGCAATCTGCTTTCTTAAAACTGCTTTTATTTTTTTTATAATCACAAAATATTTTGTTTTTAAAATTCTTGTGTTACATGTTCTGAAAAAATATATATATAAGGAATAGAATTAAATTATTAATTAATAGAAGAGAAGTAAATTGCAATTTAACTGATTTTGCAATATATGTTTTTAATTTTTAATATTCTGAATTTTCATTTTTTTATCTGTTATATTCCAATAACAATTATTCAGTATTGGTTAAAGAAATACTAGTAATGATGTAGTATGAGATCTACCAATTTTATTTTTTAGAAGGCTCCTTTAAAATTGGTTGTTCTAATAGTTTCTTTTTCCCACCATTTTATTATATGTTTGAATATAAAAGTTATTAATTTTTTTTATTTTATGAAGCATTATTATTGAATTATGAAACTACTGAAATTTGATTTGCGTACTGTTCTGCAAATACTTCCACGTTATCTCGCAGAAGCATAGTTGAGATCTGTAAAAAAAACGATGATTATTTTTTGTCATACTACAGGATATTCTTAATGTATATGGCTAAACAATTCATAGAAACTGACCATTTCAGAGCTATTTCTGTTCTTGTTTTGTAAAATGGAATTGTTTAATATGTTTTAATGGAATTAAAAATTTAATAGATTATTAAATTAATAAATGAAATTATTTTCGTGTATGTATTTTTAACTATTTGTATTTATTTTCATGTTTAAAAATAGTGTTTCAATGTCACCATCTAAGAAATAAATAACTCAATTTTAAGAATTCAGGATCTTGCCATGATTGGAAGTTGTTCCAAAGGGAAGAACCAATAAGAGCGAGGCTTGATATGAACTGGGATCAGTAACTGAATTTTTGCTGAGTAATTTTGGCTGGCTGCAGGGGAGCATTATTAGCCATTTCTGGGGAATGTTCTAATATCTTAAACTGATTACTAGGTTTACTAACAGAGTTGCTTACAGTTTTTTTCATTAGTAACTTCCCCCTCCCAGTAGATCATACTACATCATTGCAGAAATATCTTTGTTTTTAATATTTGACAATATTTCTATTAATTATTTATAATATTTAATAATCTTCTAATATTTCCATAATTTTAAATTTTGAACTGTTTTGCATAATATATTTTGGATATTCTTTTCAATCTTAGTTTATTGTTGGTATAAAAAATTTTCTTATTTTTTCAATAAAAGGCAACAGTAGTTCATATTATTGTCTTTACTCAACACCAAAATAAAATATATCACTTTATCATAAGACAGATGTGGAGTGATGAAAATGTCTAGAAATTGCATTTTTTCATTTATATTGGGTCAGTCAATAAATTCGTGCGAATTTTTTTGGTAACTTTTTAAATAATATAAAAAATCACAATTTAACATTTTAATCAATTACATATTTTCTTTCATTATCTACAATGTCTTGCCATCTTACAGGCAGCATTTTTAAGCCATTGCTGTAGAAAGGCTCTGGTTTTCATGCAAAAAAACTTGAAAATTCATTGTGTACATCCTGTTTAGAATTTAATTTTTTTCCAAGTAAAAAATTTTGCAACGCGCGAAATAAGTGAAAATCACTTGGGGCAATATCTGGGGAGTAAGCAGGATGTGGCAAAAGCTCCCAATTAAATTCACTAATAATTTGAAGCGTTGTTCGAGCATATGCGGTCTAGTGTTCTCATGATGAAACAACACTATCTTGATATTCACCATTCGTAGGTGTTTTTTGATCAGTTCTGAGTTTAGACGGCAAAGTTGTTCACTATAAACTTCTGAATTAATCGTTTGATTTGGTTCTAACAGTTCAAAACGACCTAAATGAGGTTTATCATCAGTGCTGCTTTTTCCCAACTTTAAATTTTTTAAACCAAATCTGGGCAGTCCTTACACTAATAGTATGTTCACCATGTATACTTTTAATTTTTATTGCTGCAAACCTGGCAGATTCCCCACACGAAAATAAAAAAATGTAGCACAGCATGTTTGTACTGATTATCTATATTCATTTTCTATGGGTACTAAAATGTGTTCGATATTTACGAAAGTTGGTGATGAACTGAATAATATGTTAATCAAACAGTGACAAGTTTCAACAGGTTCAAAATTGTATTATTTTAGTAAATGCATCATAGTGAATTCCATGCATACTCTCAATGTACACGAACTTATGGACTGACCCAATACTATAAAATTCAAAATGGTTTGAAATCTGTGTATTGTACAAATACATATTAGTAAACTGCTAATAATTTAAGTTAAGAAAAGTTGATTAATTGTTGAAGAAGTTTGTAATTTGTTTTATTTATTTATTTATTTATTTATTAGGATCGGCTAAGCGATCCAAATGACCTAGATGATTTTATGACGCCAGAAGATGTTGAAGGACAAGAAATTTTAAGAATAGCTGCTGAAAATAAAAGAATTAAGTGAGTCATATTTATTGACTTTTTTATATGTAAAATTATAGATGTGCAAATTTTCATGCTGCTAATTGTTTCAAATTTTTAATAAGAGTTAAATTTTAAAACTAGGTATTGTAGAATAAATGTTTATAAAATATAGAATATTATTTTTATGAATTTTTTAACATTAATTTTCACTTAATGTAAAATTATAATAATAAGTGTATTTTTTTCTAAAAATATCGAAAAGAAATTGCTTTTATGTGCCTTTTTTTAATTTGTTGTAGCTTTTTTAGTCTTAATCAGCAGTTCTTACACTTTGTGAGTTTGTGGACTGATGTGCACTTCTGGACCTCTAGACATTAACTTAACAGTGTTTTTGCTTAATACAAAACAACAAACTATTTTCACTGGTTTTTTTTTTTTTTTTTTTTTTTTTTTTTTTTTTTTTTTTAATTATTAGAATCCCAAGTTTATATACAGAATTTGCTTTTCAAATTTTTAAAAAAGTTCTAATTACAACTTATTTTGTGAAAAGTAAAATATATACATTGCTGGTTCTTTGCAGTATCTAGTAAGTAATGTTTGTGTAGATGTGCAATGTATCTGTATCTGTTCTGCAGTAAAACAAATACTGAAATCCAGTGATATGAAACTCAGCCAATTTTAGTATTTGTTTTTTATTGTATGCGAGTCCCCACACTCACAAATGTGTTGCAAAGAATAAAAAAAATATTTAATAATATTTTCTGCTAATTCTAGGCATATATGCCTCACACATAATCAAAAGTGTTGTAAACTGTAGTCCTTCAAAGCAGTTTCAAAATTTCAGGGAAATGTCATCTTATGGTTCCATGAGTTAATACTATTCTAAAATAAGTTTTTCCTTCATGGACCCTTAGGCCCATATAACAGATGCATTTGTTTCATACGAACAACTGTTTAACACAATTTTTCTGTCTGGTTTACTATTGAAAGAAAGATGTGTGATTTTTTTCCTTCCTTTCGAAAAAAATTATAAGTTGTTCGTTTTTAACCAATCAGCTATCAACTTGTTTGTAATGGGGAACCAGTTTACCCTTTACATGTTAACTCCAAAGTGAACTGTGGTGATTGGCCATTATGACATAGCACAAAAATTGCTCCAAACAGTTGTTCTTCCGAAACAAATGGATGTGAGATAGCAACCATAGCAGTGAAACTGTTCATAATGCAATTAAATAGCAAGTAAAATTTTAACTTGAAGAATCATTCACAGAACCCTGATTAATAATTCCAGTGATCCGTAGTTCAAAATTTTTTTTCTTTGTGATCTGAAATCCGTAAAACTTGTAATGGCAAGCAGTGTGGATTTATGATCTTGTATTATATTGCTAATTTTAGGCTTTACAAACGTACCATCATTTTGGTTCAGACATTGTGCTATAACTTAATTTTAAAATTGTAAAAAATATAATTAAATAGAACCATTTTTATTATTACTATTTTAGGCGCCAAGATTACAAAAGTCCATCCAGGTGTAGCGAGTGGATGCTGGGTGGAAGTGATCGAGAATTGCCCAGACATGCCAAAAAGTCTGAAGTCGGTATAACGATACATGTCGATGATTTTACGTGACTTTCTGAGTGAGAAAATAAGACGTTAATTGAAAATAATCATCTATTTTAAAGACGGTGAAGTCCAGTTCTGTGTTTTCATGTCTAGCAGCTTCCCATATTCTCATTTTAAAAAAGCATTTAAAGAAATTTTTGCATTTCTTTTTCTTTTTTCCTTTTTTTTTATATTTTTTTTATTGTGTGTGTGAGTTAGCTGTATATATTTTTTAGTCTCGATCTTTCTCTTCCCCATTGTGAACAAGGGTTCAGGGAAATTTTTAGAGAGCATTTAAATTAATTATATTTATAATATAGCACCAATGTGAGAGAATACTACATTGTATAAAATTAGTTATGATGAAATTATGCTATGATATTTTATTTAGATCAATATTTTGAAGACAGCTCTATTAAAGCTATTATTTTTATAGTTTTTATTCTCTGAGAGAAATGGCAAAGTTGCTAGTACAATCACTTATAACACAATTTAAGCAAGTATCTTCTTTTTAAGTTATGTGTACTTGTTTACATGTATCATTAATTTCATTTTTATTGCATTTAGACTTTTTGTGGTGTCTTTTTATTTGTTGTTGCACTGTACAGTGAAAATTGTGTACATAAATTAGTGCAAGTTAAGGAAATTTAAAATTTATATAGCATGTAATAGAGAAAGTAAATTATTTTTATTTTTTCTGTAAGGTGTGTAAGAGTTTTAGTGAGAATTGTCTTTTTTAATTTTATTTCTACCAGGGTTGTAAAAAAAAAAAAAAAAAAAAAAAAAAAAAAAAAAAAAAAAAAAAAAAAATTTGAATTATTCTGAGAATGCAAAAGCTTTTGGATGAATATTTGAATTATATGCATTCCAGTGTTGTTATTGGTGCTAAATAAATTATTATTTGGTGCAGAATATTGGCCTAATATATAAAATCTTAACAGAAATGTGTAGAACTTAAACAAGATCTCTTTCTTGTATGATAAGTGAATGTAAATTATTATATAAAGTATTGCTTAATTGTATAGAGGCCAGCTGCATAACTTGGTAATTGTTGTTTGTAATTGTTTTGTAAGCAGCTCTTGCTTATAAATAAAATGTTTGATAAGAAATGTATCTTTCTGATTAAAGTTTTGTTTTTACTGTTTTATATTGTTTTTTCATATAGTCAGACTTTTATATGTTGTTCCACAGAGTTCATCTTACACTTTTATTTGCTTTTCAGTTAATTTGTTATTTTTTTCTTTTTTCTAATATTCTAATGAAATAAAATGGGATCATCTCAAACAAACCTGAAGTTGCTAGAGAATTTTTTAGAAACTGAAAGATTTAAATTAATGATTAGATAAAATTTTAATGTGATGAATACTGCTACAAAATAAGATTTTAAAAACAGAAAGTTTTCAATAAAAAGTCATAAAAGTTTTCAGAAGTATTTCAAAAGTTATATTTTTGCTAAAAATAACTGTTGGGAAATAACTTTAAAAAAAGTACTTAATCATTTTTTAAGTGTTAAAGATCAAGAACTGATGTAATAATAATATTTAAATGGATGTTTTAAATATATTTTTCAAATATCTAAAACATAGCTTTATGTATAAAAAAAATTCCATCATTATCATGTAGTAGGCATTGATTGTTTCAGGTTTTTATCATAGCACTTAAGTTTGGAGCTCTGCTTTTATTTTCAGTAATTTGGTTTAATCAGAATATTTTTCAGCATTATTTATAAATGTTTCAAAACTTGTTGCTGATGGATAAAGATGTAAATACAACAGTCTGCAATAAAATATATTTGTAAATTAAATTTAAATCTTATTCTACTTAACCATTTATGCTAATGTATTTAAATATTTTTTTTTAGAAAATAAAGTTTGAAACACTAGATTTTTTTCGTGACGTCACGCAGCTGCACCACAGGTCCAGGGTTCGATCCCCAGCCTGGGCAAGGTTGACTCAGCCTTTCTTTCCTTGAGTGGGTCGATGATATGAGTACCAAGTTTGCTTGGGAACTAAACACCGGGAATCCTGTGGTAAGCTGACCACTTGCTCAGGGCATATAATGATGCAGGCTATGGCCCACTAGGGCTGTTGTGCCACATTAGCTTAGAAACACTAGATTTCTTTTTTACAACTGAAATAAATTTACTTAGGAAATAGTTTTAGCTTGCATTTAAGAAAGTTATTATTTTTTTTTATTTCATGTATTTTAATAACCCCTTTCAAAGTTTAGTTCAGTATTTCCCAAAATATTAAACATTATGACTCGCATTAATGTATAATTTGTGACTTAGTTGCTGTCCAAGAAAGAACAGTCTTAGAAATAAATATTTTATTAATGCACCAAAAATAAATAAATATGTCTAATTTTTTACACTTAATTAATAATCATAAAGTATAATTGGAAAAGAAACTATTAAATACGAATTAAAAAATGGGTAAAAATGAAAATTTAGATTATCATAGGTTTTTGTATAAAATTCTGCCTATTTTGAGAGTAGTGATATGACATAAGTCTCTTTTCTTTAAAAGAAAAGAAATAAAATAATATATAAAAATCTGAATGCTTTCAGATTTTACATTATGCCGAAGAACATTTTATGTGTTGTCTTTACTTATTAAATATCATGTTCTTCGCACTTAAACCACAAAATTCAGTGCAACAGCAATATTGCAAAATAATTTTAAAATGAGTGTATCTTAAAGTTTCTAATACGCAGTCTTGCGCACTGAAGGTTTTTTTTTACTTTGCAGCGTTGCCATTGCTCGCTTTGAAATCATTGAATTTGTTAATCAAAAATTCATTAACGTTTTACAAAATATAAAATCAATAAGAAAACAAATTCTAAATTTCAAATTCGGGCTTCCAGATGCCCATATTCACAGGAGGTTTATGTTATTCAAAATTAGATGACACTAGGTACCGTTTTTTTATCGCAATGCGAGAAATATACATACATTTATGCATATTCTTCAGGGCTCTAATATTTAGTGGCAGCAATTTCGAAAAGTGAACCAATGCAAAATGAAATTAATAGTCCTTTGGGCTAAAAATAGAACCTTTATCACATTGCACCAAAATCAATAGAATTTCACTCAAAATCTATATCAATCTGAGGTTGCTGTGAGCCTATTTACTATATACAGCATGTTAAAAATTAATGGAACAAACTGTAAAGGGTGATAGAACATATCTAAACTAAGATTTTTCATCATAAAATGCATGGTCACATGTTAGATACAAAGGCAGATGATGACGTCTCCATCAGTTCAATCAAATACAATTCAAGTCATAATGGGATTCAGCCTGAACTATGAACCTAAAAATCTAGGTGCAGATATCGTACAGAGTACAACATATCTTCTGACAGTGAAATTAAATCAATGAAGATAGATTACATAATTAATGAAGTCTGGACCTTAGGATCCATCTGAAAAGATGACAGAGAAGGGAGATAAAAGAGTAAGACCACTGGCTCTTAAAAAAAAGTGCTTAGATAATTTAAGATAAGGACAAGAGACCTTTAATTCATCCATGAAATACTAAATATAACAGTCTCAATTGAGAAACAATGCTTTGTCAAAACTGGAGAATGCATACAAGCTAAATTAAATCGGAGAGAAAAATTAACATGTAAAACGTAATGATAGTGCATACAAAAATTACCATTTTCATACATGTACCAGGTTTGGTTTGATTTTGAGAAAAGCATACTAATATTGTATTTACTTGCATACTTTTCCTTCTTTATTTTATTAATTTTATCATGCATAAATCAAGAAAAGGAAATTATGCAAGCATTTTTAATTATCAAACGATGCAGTTAGCATAACAAATTAAAAATATTCATGGATAAACTACTAGTAACTTATCACAATATTATTTACTTTAAAAAACCATACATTTCAATAAAATTACATGGTAATATTAACCTTATCAAATAGCTAATAAGATATCTTCATTTGTGCTTCCTGTATCTTGAAAAATACATAGTAATATTAACCTTATCAAATAGGTAATAAGATATCTTGAATCTCACCGGGCTTATTGTTATTCATTGCCATTCTGAAGGCCTCAGATTGCATGAAATAGCTGTCTGTATATGTTACAGCTTACTAGTCATCGCCATTGAGTCTGTCTCGCCACGTGCAGTGATGATTGCTGGCCAATCGCCAATTTTCGACAAGGGGGAACCCTGAAATATATTTTTACCTTTCTAACACTAATAGCCGTGAAATACGTTAAATAAAAACTCTTCTAATTTAGAAATGGAAAGAAGTGATCTTAAGTCTGATCTATAATTATAAATAAGAATATCACATATAGATTTTTGGCTACTTGTAGATGAAAAAAATTATCCACACTTAAAAGAAACTTTTCAAAGATTAAACTCTTGCTTTTGATCAATTTACCTTTAGAGCCATAGCTAGGGTTTTCAGCTCCTGGTGTTAAATACGAAAGTAAATGTACACCATTTTGTTCACTCAACTCATTTCTACCTAAATAATCTCTCTAAAATTTAAACACAACCAAACAAGTTTATTCTACCAAAATAATAACATTTTACAGCTGTTGCCACTCAAGCAAAACTGAAAAGGAAATTAATATTACTCTGTTTGAATGTAGATGAACAATGCTATACTTTACAGCTGGAGAAAGCTGAAGATTTTACGCCCCATACAGTTTACCAAGAAAGGGAAACATTTTGTAACATCAATTTGGTGCCTTCAGGATACGCACCTGGTAACAGGTGTGCAACCTTACTCCCCCTAGCTACACTACTGCTTAACTTTGCAAATATGGTTTTTCAGCTGTGAACTTGTTAAAATTAAAATTCAAATTCAGGAAAACAAATGAACATTATAAATGACTGCATGAAATAGCCATAACATCATACGTATCACAAATAAATTCGCAAAAGACATGCAGTGTCAAATTTCACATTAAAATATGTTAGTGTATTTAATTTGCATCCTATTGATTTCTTTAATATGAATATAAAGAGTACACTCCGCAAAAAAGGGGGGGACAGTTCTATAGCTTCCATTCTACAGGGCCAATTAACGAAATTCAAATTGTGTTTTTCATGTCATTTTCGAAAGCGTGGAAGAGGAGATGGGTGGGAGATCCTCGAACCTGTCCCCCCTCCAGATGTTGCCCATCAAAATTGGGGTTGGATATGCATTAGATTTAGGTATAGCGTTTTTCAAATGTAGGTATTTTGACATAAAATCGGACATTTTCTGAAATGGCATGCCAATTTTTTTCCATATTTCAATACTACAACTCAAATTCTACTGAGTTTTATACAACTTGAGCGAGTTAGCATAGTTGTTGAAAGCCATGATAGCATCTAATGTGGTTTACACACTTTGTTAAAAATAATTTGAAAGTAGGAACGGAGTTACTTTTTTTCCTGTCATGCACAATGAAAAAAGGGAAAAGAAAATAGGTTGCCATAAATTAGGAAGTTCACTAAGTAAATTATTCTTGGCACAAACCGAAAAAAATACGCAAGATAATTTTTTGAATTTCTCCATAAATTTCGCACCAAATTTTACAAAGTTTAATATTTAGGCATCGTTTGAGTCGTAGAATTGAATATAAAAAACGGCATGTCAGAAAAAGTCCAATGTTGTGCCAAAATGCATATATTAGAACAAAGATATATATAAATCCAATGCATGTACAAAGTCGCGCTTTCGAGACGTAAAACACGCAATCTGAATTTCATCAATCCGCCCAGTAGAACGAAGATATAGAAGTACCCCCTTTTTTTTGTGCAGTGTTCATAATTATGCTTTTTTGTAAACATACTACACAACACATTTTTAGAATTTGTGTATTATATATGTTTATACTTAAAATATTAAATGTGACTGGCTCGCTAAGATTTTTCAAATGAGCCTTTAACTTTTAGAATTTGAGAAGAGAATGCTCAGAACCCTTTAAAGTATTGAAGAACCTTACCCTGTAGACCGTGAGAAGAACTGTTTTGCCCTCTACTCCCCCCCCATGCCATGCATTTTGCTGTTGTTTATGCTCACTTGTCTGACGTCTTGAGCACCATTCAGGTGACAGAGTGATTTAGCTCAGTTCCAACCCCAATTTTGATGGGTAGCATCCGGGGGGTGACAGGTTCGAGGATCCCACCCCTCTCCCCTTCCACCAAACCACAGGAGAGGACTTTCGGCTCCCACATATTTAGAGTGTCGCCACCAACACTATACATTTACAAACATCCATGCCTTTTCGGGGATTCGAACCCGGAACCTTCAGCACGGCAGTCAGTGATGCTAACCACTATACCGGTTGGATGGCATGTATTTTGTAGTAGCATCAGTGCTAACAAGAGCTTGTGGCTCTGATCATTATGCCCTATTTTACATATGAATAAACATTGTGATAATTTTACAGTCCATTTATTTATTCGATGGATCTCAATCTCTAACACACAAAATGAATTTAAATCTTAAAAAAAAAAAAAAAAAAAAGAGAGAGAGAATTAAAAGATTAAATTTATGCTGTTAATTATAAAATTTTTAATTCTTGAAATAAATGCTCTTCATTATCGTGTACGTACCCCTGATAAGAAATTTTTTTTAATTTAAATTGAACTTATCTATTTTTTTAAATGTATTTAGTTCTATTTTAATATTTTTTAAATAAAAACTATATTGAAAATTTTTATAAGAGTGGAAATCACATCGATTCCAAAAGTTTTTTTTTCCCTTTCCCCTCCATTAACTCCATTAACTTACGTATTAACGCAACCACTTAGTCGCCAAATTTTTAGAATGTGCCGAATTCTGGCAACCATGCTCATAACAATGCCTTTAGTGAAAGAACGTCGCCATTTTCGTATGCGTTCTTTCTGATGGGTTCCAAGTTCCAAACGGTTTTTTTATAAACAAATCGTGATATTTTTTCCTTTAAATTTAATTTTAAAATAGGAGCTTGAGAAATTTACCAGCTGTGGAAGAAATTTCGGTAAAATTTTTGCAGGAATGTAGCATTTCGCTCAAATTGTTCTAAAAAGAACAAGGAATACGTTTGCCAGCTAGCAGAAGGTTGCATGCAGCCGAGTCTCCAATTCTCTGATTGTTTTTTAAGCGATAAGAGATCGCAGTGCACTTCGGGAGAAAAACAGCGCAAAAAAATTTCCGAGAAATTTGAAGAAGAATGTGTTTTATTTATTTATTTATTTTTATGTATCACGTAATCCTTATTAATAACTCAAATTCGTATTTTAAATTGTTAAACTATGTTTTCTTTTCATCTGGTGATAATGTTTACCGACTTACGATAAATATCGATACTTTGGGGATCTCTTGAAAAAAGGCGCGAAAACTACCAACTTGTACTCGATAAGTAACTTTTACCTTTTCATCTGTAAAAAATCGCCGACCTGCGCCCAAATGAAAGCGTTAATACATGTAAGTACCTAATTTCTCAAAATCTAGTTTAAATATTCTGTTTGCAAAAGAAAATTGAATTCATTCTTTTTAATCACAAAAGAAAATTTTGTTGATTTTTATAGAGTTTTTTAAATATTTAAAAATTCTATAGGAGCTTCTATAGAAAATTAAAGGAAAGAAACTTCTATAGAATTTTTTAGAATTACGGCCCAGCTTTCTATAACCTGGATCTGATATTTTCAGTAGAATTCTATTAGGTGATTATATGAAAAGGATCTTTAGAAAACTAAATATTTTTATAGAATCTGTAGATGAATTTCTACAGAATATTGTGTGTGTATCCTTATAGAATTTCTATTAAGATTTCTACAGAGGCTAGACATAGAATTTTAGAAATTTGATTTAAGTTTATAGAAAGTTTGACCCAAGTTTATAGAAAATTAGCTTGAAATTCTATAACATTCTTAATAAGTTAAACACTGGATTTTTTTATATATATAGAATTCTATGAGACGTTTTTGTTGTGGTTGGCTTAGGGAAGTTTCTGCCTAGTTATTTCAATGCTGTAAAAGTGCATTTAGTTAAATAATAATTTTTTCGCTTGATAATGATAAAAAGCATTGTGACGCATAACTTTTGTGAATATAAATACTGAAATAGGATGACTAAAGTCGTCTGTCATTAATGTGTTCTCCAAGAAACTTTTACCCGTACTTTGAAAATCTAATGTTTAACCAAAATTTGGAGAAAAGTAGTTACTTCATCTGTAAAAGAATTTCATCAAAGCTGTATATTTGTCTACAATTTGATATATTAGTTGAAATTAGTTTTTACTGGGCATTGAGCATTTTATTAACTAAACAATGTTTTCTTCTATAAGCATTTAATCTTCTTTGTGAATTATTCTATTAATTACTTTAAAATTTGAAGTAATTTATTGTTCCTGAGAAATCTTGTGAATAAGGTTAGGTTAGTATTTGTATATGGCAAAGAGTGTATGAAGTCTAATCTGCTTGAAGGTTAAGATGCCTTTGTGGAGAACTTTCTAAGGGAGATCTAGCTTGTTAATTTAGAAGTCAAACAACAATACTCTCTCATAATAAGATCTAGCTTATTTCTCATTGGAACATGGGGGGGGGAAACATAGAAGTTAATTAAGCGACCAGCATGTTTAAATGGGCTCGAACCTAGGACGAATTATCAGCATTCACTGATCTTAACCACTCAGCCACTGATGGGATCTTTTGAGAATTAGAAATCAGTGAAAACGTAGGCTTCTTAAGAAAGTGTTTCTTGTAAAAGAAAGGTGGTGAAAGTGGAAAAGAATTAGTGTATGAGACGCTGGTATTCTTTTATTATATTTTTCTCTTGTACTGCCTATTTGATATTCAGAAGTGAACTTTAACATTGTTTGCATTATGGACGGAAATTTTTCAAATAAGCATTCTTTAAATGCATACCTTTCACTTATTTTTACTTCCTTGTGCGAAGCAGAGCCGTATTAAGGTTTTCAGCGCCGGGGACAACTGAAGATTTTGCGCCCCCTATTAAGTGCCAAGAATGGAAAATATTTCATTCTAAAATTTCATAATGGAAAATATTTCATTCTAAAATTTCGTAGCATCCATTTGGTGCCCCTTAGACGCTGCGCCCGGGGGCAGATGTCCCCTCCTGCCCCACCCTAGCTACACCACTGGTGCGAAGTAAACGAAGTATTGTAATCCCGAAAATTTTCGGGTATCATATTTCGACGAAAATATCCATTTTGAC